AAAAAAAAAACAAAATGATAAAACAAAAATTAGTACCTGTGTTAATAACATGCGGTGAAACAACCATAATACAATTTGATTCCATAGGGTAGGAGTGCCCAGAAATCGGGTGTTGAAGAGCATCCTTTCGGGCGCCAAACTGATAGCCGACAAGATTAACATCGCGGGCGTAACCCCTGGTATACCGATGTATTTGATGTGGGACTCGGCGTATGCGGGTGTGCACGCCCTTTGCTCCAGGTGCATTGTGGTGACTTTACTATTAAATAGAAATAACTCGATGAATACGACCATCGGACTGTCCTCAGTGCCATCGCCCGTTATAATGAACTTGGTGCTTAGAACACCCCTGATGAAATGCGCGTGCACATAGTCGTTGTGCTCAATGTCAATTAGGTTTTCCATTACTTGCTAGCAATAAAATAAAAGTAATAAGTTGTATTTAATTTGTACATATTAATTAAGAGTTATAGAAGTTAATTATAGTCATTTAAAAACTTATATGAATTAAGTACTTAAGCTATTGAGTAAGTTTATTAAATATGTAACTGCTATACAAACATTACATTGCCATTGGTAAAATGTACCTGTGATGATGTGTATAACTTGTAGGTGTATTTGGAGAGTACTGTAAGGTTGGGAATGTTGTACTTCTTGGACAGGTCTGGGAGGCAGTGGTCGGGCTCTGCATCGCTTGTGTGATGCCAGACGTATATCATGTCGTTTCTCTCCATCACTCGCCACCGCTTAACCCTTGCCTTCAATGCTATCAATTCACTCTCTATTGGTGTACAAAATATAATAAATAAAACTATGTTAATTACTAAACATGGTAATTTATATTTTACAATTATCTAATTATTCTATAGTTAATACTTAACCGTTAGAGCTTAATAAGATAATTATACAATATTTTTTTTATTAAAACAGTGCATAATGTTTCACACAAATACCGTACATTCCCGGATACAACTCGGTTTAACTTAAATAAAATCAATCTAGGTCATACTAAATTTTACTGATTTAAATATTTACTAAAATTAATTGTTAAATAATAGCCAAAATATTAAATAAATAGTCAAATATTACGCTTACTTTCGAGATTAGGTATGTGTTTGCACTGTCCGTCTCCGCCAAACCTCCAGCCATGGAATGGACACTGAATACAGTCGTCGCCCGACTCTGACTCAGTCACCACATGTCCGCCGACACCGAGATTTGCGCCCAAATGTGGACAATA